GGCGTGTAGCGCTACGCGCGCCATCGGTACCTAAGATGTACTTCGTCTGCCATGCTTCAATGGCCCCGCTAGCATTATTCTTGATGTACGCTGTGAGTGGCCATTCGGTCTCTGAGCTGTGTTCATAATGAACAAGTTCCATGAATCGCTGGACCTTTTGCCCCTTGGTGTTCAAGTACTGTTCAAAGACATCTTCCGTCATGCCTTGGTCGGTATTGAAAAGGTACTGGTAAGGCGTGGCTTTTACAAAGTCAGCTACGTCGGATGTCATATAACTAACTCATAGTTTGCGAAAGAACTTACCATGGACCACCTCAGCGCCGGTGAAGTTACTGACTAGGGCGCCCGTGCTATCACGCATCCAAAAAGAAGTTTCGGTAAGACGATGTCCTCTCTTGTCAAGATCATGAAGTAGATTCATCGTCTGCAGGATCTCTTGGGTTCGAGGTTGGAATGCTGTGTGGTATGATCAGCTTTCTCGTCAAGTCAACAAGAGGGCAGTTTATTGGCGTACCGCTTGCATGCCCAGTTTGTGTTCTCGTGGCCCTTTTGTCAATCAGGCAAAAATCGATGCCGTATCTTTGCAACGTTGCCGCGGCCATGCATCCAGCGGGACCAGCGCCAACAATGAGAACATCCGTCCTCTGCGACTTGAAGGCGCCAAATTGATATGTTTCAATAGTCATGGTGGAATAACGATGAACGGAGCTTCTTGGGGTTGCAAGTGAGAATGCCGAAGAGACTTATGGCCTGGCATGAGTGGCTGTATGTTGTGGATTTCCCATCCCCTTTATACCTCCACCGATGTGATATTTGGCCCCAGGTGAAGCCTCATGGTGCACCTCAAGGTGCACTACCAAAAGTACATCAATAGCACTGTCACCATCACAAGAGGTCTGGTCTCTTCAAAGTCATCCTTCCATGAATGCCGAATTGTCTGACGAATTTTCGCACGCGCTAATGCACATTGCCACTGATATTCAACGAATCCAGAATCAGGTTCCGGTCTGGAAATCGAGCTGAAAGGGCCACTGTTTCGTATACGACCGTGCGAATAATCCTTTGGCAACATTGTTGAGCCGCTCAGCTGTGAGGAAGGATGCTCATTCGTATCCTACTATGATGACGGACGCGGAGACCAACATCCTAGGAATAGCGTGAACTTGCAAACAGGAAATTGGGTTTCACACACGAATTTGCCTCGCCACTCGTTGTTCAATGCATCTAGTTGAAAGTCGGAGATGACTTGAATGACCTGGGTGAGAGCCATCAGCGGAAAGACTGAAGGATGCGAAGGAATGAATGGGGCCGCTTTGTTAGTCTTCATGCCGTCCGCCAGTTTATATGAGGCTAGACACACAATGTAACCCTGCTAGGCCGTTCTCGGGGTGAGGCCCGACGATCGAATCCTTCAACTCGGCAGGGATGCAAAATCAACAAAAACGTGAAAGGTGTGTGTTGGTGTCTTTCAAAACAAGTCAAAAGTGCTGGTATGGAGTGTCCGCGGCCTGCACGCGAAGTGTATCCCGAAAAACATTTTAACATTGGTCCAGAAGAGTCCTGAAGTCCGATCATGAGGGCACCCGGTGCAGCTCTCCACCGACCCATGTCTAGTGGACGCCCTGGCTGTTTCGGCATGATCCACAGCGGAAGCAGTGGGCCAGGATCTGACATCTGACTGTGCCCTGGTCCACCCCGCACGCCTTCCGTGAAGAATCGAGTAATCAAGCATAACCAAGCACTTGACTGCTAGATCTGAGGCTGTCGGCGGTCGCCGTTCCCCGTGTGCCTGGAGAAGACGTCTTGATCTACATTAACAAATGTTGAGGAGGAAGGATCTACATGGTGGAAGACGGGAGACGGGAAGTGAGAGACCCCTCCGCAGGACCGTTCAGGGTCTCGATGGTCTTCCCCGCAAGGTCCATTGCAAGGGCCAGTGGTTGATCAAGGGTCTGAGTTCCTACTTGCATCGGTAGTGGTCATCAGCTATCGGTCAACTCCGTCAAATCAAGGAATATTAGGGACGGTGGCTGCCGAAGTCTCACATATCCGCAGAAGACATGGATTAAAGTGGAAGATTGAGAACGGTATTGAGTCAGTCACTCTATGCCCCGAGCAAGTCAGCTTGGTTGCATATACTAAAGGTGAATGATAAGGATTATCTACTGGGGAAGAGATAACATTGGTAATGGTTCATGTTCTGGTTACCACATCCACTTTTGGCGGTGGGGGCTGAAAGGGTTAAATATTGCAACAGCTGGAGAAAAGATAAGACCCACTCCGATTCCAAGGAAATACCTTCATTGTTTTTTCCCATTTTCCGCATTAATCAAAAGCATATTCTAAAGAAAGAATGTTGAACTATCAGCCAGTATCTTAACTATACTCTAAAGACACACCTCGAGCTCTACTGTTGAAATCTTTCTCTGGTTCAACGTGAGCCTGACGGGAATCCACTTTTGAATTGGGTTGCGGATGTTGTTCTTGGCGTGCAGGCATAAAATTACCAGATCCATGGTTTTCTCTACGAGAATGCGGCTCTCTTTGAGTTGGTGATCTGTTCTACTGCCAGATTAAATTCCACTACGCTGCACTGATTGAAAGACTCTGTGGCGAGCCAACTACGGTAGCAAGTCTGTCCTTTCAACGCTTTCGGCACATACAACTCCAATCATTCATACTAACTCTTATTCTAAACCTGAAAGTGTACTCGATAGAACTACAATGCGGCATGCAGAGGTACTTAAGTGAAGAGTTGTATCCTGTTCGTAGTAGTACTCTATCCCAAGAAACGCCGTCTATTGAACCTTCCCTCTAGCATCCACGGACCAGATCTCCTCAATGACTCCACCCCGATGAGCAAAATAAAAGTCATGCAAATTGATCGTCGGATCAATGTGACTCGGGACCATCTCCACCCTATCCCCAACTTTCAAATCCGGCGCCCCCTCGTCCCAACTCAGCGCACCATGCTCATCACCCAGATTCTGATGCATGTATCTGGAATCCTTACACTCCGCCAACCCACTATCTGTAGTCAACGACTTCAACCCCGCATCAATTGTAACCTGTCTCTCCCCCTGCCGACTCACTACCGTCGACAATATCGTCAGACTGTTCGAGTAACCCCTCCCGATCGCATTCCGGTAATCCGTATCCATAAAAATAAACGACCCCGGCTGCAACTCCGTCACGCCGGGCACAGAGGCACAAAACTCCACCGTTCCCGTCCCACCTCCAGTAACCACATCGATCTGGAAGCCTTCCTTGCGCAGCGCCTCCGCCGTCTCCGTCAATATCTTCATTGATGCCAAACATTCCTGTCGTCTCTCCTCATAACTATGCATATGCTGCACATGTCCCTCATACCCCTGCACCCCGATCAACTTCAGATGCTTCAGCCCAGACAGATGTCTCGCGAGTGCCAATGCCGCCTTCACATCAGCCACGCCCGTACGGTGCAGCCCCACATCTAAATCAATCAGAACCGCCAAGGGCGTCGTTATTCCTTCCCGCTCCAATGCCTCATTAATGGCCGTAGCCCCGACTTCGCTATCGACCACAGTACGCAGTCGCCCCGGGTGTTTCTTCACCAGTTCAACGAGTCGCTGGACTTTCGGTGCGCCAATAATCTCGCATGTAATCAGAATGTCATCGAACCCGGCGGCTGTGATGGCCTCGGCTTCTGAGACCTTAGCAACGCAGCAGCCTTTGGCACCCGCGGCGACGAGCCTCTTTGCTAGGGCAGCGCACTTGGTGGTTTTGAGGTGCGGACGAATGTTCAGTCCTGTGGGGAGGAGGGCGGAGAAGAGTTTCTGGATGTTGGATTCCATCAAGTCGAGATCGACGATCATTGAGGGGGTATCCAGGCTCGAGAGCCGGTCGCCGATTCGGGGAGTATACATGATTTGCGTTTCAGAGGGGGAGGTGAGTAGCGGGAGGGTGAGTGATGAGAGTGTATATTGGCGAAGAAAGAGCGTGGGAATGGGTTTCTAAAAGAGGGGATGGTGCCCCTCCTTGGCGATGAATGTTCAGGCCGTGCGCCCTTGCAGATGGAGATAGGCCGAGATCCGAGAGCGATAAGCAGGACCATCCCTACTTATCTTCAACCCTCACCACCTTCGAACATATTAAGTAATGATATGCCCCTTGTTGTGTCACAATATCAGTTGATGTTCTTCCTGGATCCCGGAAAATTGACTACCAACGAAGAATTTGTGGTAGGAAGAAAGAACAAACATGCGGAAGAATGCCTTCCCCGCACAAAGACGATCACTGCTATTTCGGGACCAGCGCAACACCCCTCACGTCTCTACTGAACATACCCCCCTGACCGACTTCTCCAGATCCCACTTACGCCTGTCAAAGCTGTCACAAAAAAGAAACAGCCTTGAGAGTGTAGATTTATGGTACTTCCCTGAGAATACTCAATTTCCACCATCAGTCGTACTATCCTCGTCAACACCACCACCACCACCACCACCACCACCAACAATAACCAGAAGAAATAATGGGTTAGGAAGGTATCTGGGAAACGATCTCCCCCTATGATTCATCAGGCCTGTGTATTGCAATTTGAATCCATTTCATGTTCATATTTATTAGCCCAACTTGGTCCCCGTATAAGACACTAGCTGTTCCAGTCACTATCTTGATTTTACAGACAACTACTGCCCCCTACCTGCCTGTTCCAAATGTACCGGGGTGGGCAGCAGCGTAATCCTGTCCATAACATCAATTTAGCGATGTGGTAGATTTTCTGCCGATGGTCTGTGAAAATGCTGTCATTCCGTCAGTTGTTTGATGATCTCCCATCATTGTTCACTTGCGGTCAACTTCAGGACGCAGATTGGGGGACGTTTCCCGTCTAGGCGTACTCTGAGAAATGTGACGCATGTAAGTGGAGGGGTGTTGTAAGCATAGTTTCGGATTGGGACCATTGAGAAGAGGTGATATCTTATCCGCACGCGCATGCCATTCTGAATGGAGATACAGTCGCACTATGGCTCTTCAACCGAGAACACGTATCCCCGGATGTCCTTTCTACTGTCCTTCCTGTCTCTGCTGCTGCTCCTGCTGTTCTTGCAGCTCCGAATGCTCCTGCGCTTGCTGTTGGGCCTGCTGGTGGTGGTGTTGCTGGTGGTGGTGTTGCTGGTGATGGTGGTCTTGGTGATGGTGGTCTTGGTAGCTGCTGTTCTGGTGCCTGTACTGCTGACCGTGCTGCCGTAACAATAGTTAGTCTAATGCCATACAATGTATTGACATGCAGAGTACTAACACGGTAGCGGCGGCGCTGAAGCCTCTGTTGCCATTCGATCTAATCATATAAATTAGTTTCTTGCATTGTGTGCTTTCCTTTCCTATTTAGCTAACCGCAACGCGTCTGGCTCCCTGTAAGAAGTGAGCTTGATAAAATCCACGGAATTAGAGTAAAAGGTAATATGGATTAAACATACCAGTATTTCTATCCCGCGGTATAGGTAGCAGTTTGCGATTAAATGGCCCCCGCGGCCACAGAACCGGCACTGCATTCGAGCCTTGTTAGCAAATTGGCATGAAGCTGGAATGACTTAGTTTCATCATAGAAAGGTTATAACACGTACTCTTCTGGGTCTCCAGCCACCGCGTCTGCCACGGTCACGGTCACCACCGCGACCACCGCGACCGCGATTTCCATGTTCTTCGTGATAAGTAGAAGCTCCAGTGTTGCTATCTGATGGCATGATGTTTACCGGAACTTCTATGTATCAAATTAGAGGAGAACTAATCTCCCGAAGGAATGCGACTATTTGAAGGGAAGATGAGATTGTGCGTCGAGAAACTGTGATTGAGCCAGGACAACAACCTTCACTGAACAAAACTACCAAACGTGGACTAATACGTATGAGCATCGTCCATTTTGGGTCTAGGTCCAGTCTCGTTGGAAGGGTGACCTTCTAACATGACCTACTGAAGGTGTCAGTGGTTTCCAGTCTTCGAATTCTTTATTCATATTATTCTTGCGTTCAATGTGCAATCAGTGTTTAACATCAATATGGCTGAGCCACTAAATGAATTCATACACATCGGAACTTTACCTCTAGAATTAGATCACTACCCTTGTATCTGAAAGTAGCCTTAATATCCTCTGGCTTCAGGTCGGTGAAATAGACTTCATACCCAGTGCAGCTGAGCCATCCATAGAGGCCATGGCCTCGAACAAATATATTCCGCAAGCGTAAATCCCGCTAAGGGCCATAGATAGTCCCCTCGAGTAGACAAAGATGTGTATACTCGTCCCCTATGATAATTGCGTGATGGGCCACTATCCTGCGCAGCACCTGCTGATGGTGGGAATTGTAAGCATTATCACGCATCATAATCCAGGGAGTATATATGATTAGTAAAACATAAGATAGCGTCCGGTATATCCGAGATCCGATAAAATCAGCCAATAATGCTTAATGGTGTGGCTTAATAAATCTTTGATTGTCGAGCTTAGACTTTCGATAGGGGATGTATGTGCGCGCCGATGGCCCGATCCCTCACAGCACGTCCAGTCAGAAGAGTCTACCAAATGGTGTCAATCATCTATCCTGAGTTGCATAATGCCATTCCAGAATGACGACTTCCACAACCTCATCTGTCCACTCGGATGTGTGAAACTGCCGACCGTTATCGGCCATGTAAGGCGTGATCGCCTAGTGTCTCGCGTCATCTCAGTGCACCGCAGCACATCCCATGCGGGGTTCAGGGCAAGAAGTACAGCCCCTCCGAAGATTATAAATGCTATGTTCATCCTGATCAGTGCCTCCGTGTCATTGCATAGACTATAGATCATCTTTCACCATGCCTACTGAATTCATCAGCCTTACCTTCCCCAACGCCTCGACTGAGGTCGCGCCTATCCCCAACGCCTCTATTGACCCCGACTACCTCGTCCGCTATGCGCGATCCCTAGACGATTATGGCTTCAACTATACCCTCGTGCCATACGATTCGTCTTATTTCGATCCCTTCACCGTCGGAGCCACCATTGCGTCGGTGACCAAGAACCTCAAGATCATCATTGCCCTCCGCCCCAACACCCTGTACCCGACCGTCGCCGCCAAAGCCCTCGCTACCCTAGATCAGCTCAGTCGAGGACGCGCCGTAGTCCACCTTATTGCCGGCGGCAGCGATGCCGAGCAAGCCAAAGAAGGTGACTTCCTCACCAAGTCCCAACGCTACGGCCGACTAGAAGAATACATCCGCATTCTCCGCCGAGCCTGGGAATCCGATGAGCCGTTCGACTGGGAGAGCGAATACTACACCTTCAAGCAATTCAGCAACCGTGTCCGTCCTGCCAACCCCAACGGGACCATCCCCGTCTCGGTGGGTGGCTCCTCCGATGAAGCCTACCGCGTAGGCGGCTCTCTGGCCGATATCTTCGGTCTCTGGGGCGAACCGCTCAAGGAAACCAAGGAACAGATCGATCGGATCTATGCCGAAGCCGAACGCGCCGGTCGTGCACCAAACGATCGCCCCCGTATCTGGGTGACCTTCCGGCCTATTATTGCCGAGACGGACGAGCTGGCCTGGGCTAAGGCATATCAGACGCTCGATAAGTTGAAGGAGCATCGCGCGAACGGACAGGGCAAGGCGCCGCCCAATGCTCCGCCGCCGCAGAATGTTGGGTCCCAGCGACTGTTGGATATCGCGGCGCGTGGGGAGGTCCAGGACCGCGCGCTCTGGTATCCCACTGTCACAGCGACAAATGCGCGCGGCGCGTCCACAGCATTGGTCGGATCGCCGCAGACTATTTCGGATTCGATCTTAGATTATGTGGATTTAGGTGCTGAATTGATCTCTATCCGCGGGTACGATAATCTCAACGATGCGATTGATTATGGGCGGTATGTGCTGCCTAAGGTGCGTGGGGAGTTGAAGGCGAGGGAGAATGGGAACTGAGGTTGTTGAAAGATGTATTTAAGCTTCACTCTTCAGGTAAATCGAAGATGATGAATGGTAACTGTCAGATAAAGTTGATAGAAATTGACTGAAAGGGTTTGCTGCCCCCCACCTGACTGAAGCTGTATGCGTTAGTAGATAAGGCACACAAGGCATCAAACTGATAAATGGCTACGGTGAGAAAAACCAGTAAGGAAAAAGAAAGGTAGGAACAGTAAAGACTTCAGCAAAAGCAAGCATGTCACTCTAGACTCACAAGAGAATATATGGGTCTGATCGAGTTGGTTGACCACAAGTTCTCGAGCATTTTGACAAACAGAAAGGGGAAGAAGAATTTTGGAAATGTAGTCTCAAATCAAACCAAAGGACTCTACTACATGTCCAGGCATCCAAACTCACCACCTGAAAATCAACGCCAAGAACTGCACCACGCTGCATCTTGAGCACGATAAGCTTTCCTCCAGCCAACCGAGCGGCAAATAACATCTCACCACGCGACCGTCTGGATAGTTCATCTTACTCGGACCACCGGATTGCTCCACCCGTTCAAGCCACCTCTCCCCCCATCAAAACACTCTCATCTTCTCTCTGTCCTCCCAACCTCACCCATCTTCACCAAGAAAACACTCCCACAAAAACAAAGACCATGCGATCTCCAAGTGACCCTCTTCTCGCCTCCGAAGCCCAACCTCTCCCTCCTGGGCAAATATATCTCCCCGACGACGATGAAAACACACCATCCACCGAGCCCCTCATTGCACGCTGCCGCCGGTCGGCCCGCAACTACCTCTCCTCCCGATTCGGTCACTATCTCGTCCTATTCCTTGTGTCTGTAGATGTTGCCTGTGTTTTCGCTGATTTCTTGATTGAAATCCATGTGTGCGAACTGGAGAAGAAGTACAAGCATGTGCCTTCCGGGTGGGAAGATGCTCAGGAGGCGCTGAGTATTACTGGACTGGTGTTTTCGTGTCTGTTTATGCTTGAATTGGTGGTTGCTGTGGGGAGTTTTGGGATGGGGTAGGTCTTCCGATCCATACATTGCCTTACACTTTCGTCACTTCACAGAGCTAGAGTAGTTGGGTTGCTCGAGGTATGGGGCATTGCAGCTAGCTAACGGTATCATCGCAGTTACTTCTCATCTAAGTTCCATATCTTCGATTCAGCGGTTATTATTGTTGCTTTCGCCATAGATGTGGCCATGAGAGGGTTGGTCGAGGAACTGGGTTCCTTGGTCGTCGTTTTGCGGTTGTGGCGCGTGTTTAAGATTATTGAGGAGTTGGAATCCGCTAGTGCGGATTCTTTGGAGGAGTATGAGCGCGAGATTGATCGGTTGAAGGAGGAGAATTATCTCCTTCGGCGGAGGGTGGAGTATGGGGGTGATGGGGTGAATTGAGCTTGGCATGGTGTTATACTACCTAGGTATGTACATGTGTGTAGGGTATGTGGTGTGGGGTAGGCTGGCTGGTGGGCTGAGTGGATGATCAGAAGTGTTCTTTGTAGATGGTTTGTGGTGTGCAGTAGGAGGTGATCTGCATGGGAGATTCCGGGTATATAGTCCTTGGTTGTTGTTTGGAGATCTTCTGGTAGCGGATCGAACATAGACAGTGATTTGATGGCGATTCGAGCGTCCAATTACTCATATCTGTACCATTTTCTTGGAGACCGCACCAGGGCGCAATATCCCTGGTAAGGCTGAGAAGATGCAGGAAGCTTACCACTTCTCCACCTCATCCTGCACGATTCTCCACCTACACCCCGCACTGAAAGCGACACACGATCGCATTTTCATATAACTAGGAAATCTTTAGGAGTGAATGTGTCGCTACACCATACATATAAATCATGTGATTTTTCAGGCACCATTATATTTGCAGTATACACCTTCATATAAGGAATTAGCCATTTCAACAATCCAAACATTTTCATCGAAATAAATGCAGCCGTTAACCCGCGTCAGACCTTTTCTGCATGAGAGCATATGTATTGAATACTCTACACGGTATGTCTGTACTAGACTCATAATCATCTATGCAACTTCATGAAAGGCCTTGCTAACCCAGAAGCTCTAAGCTCGACCAAAAACCTCATCAATAAACTCCAACCCCCTGTTATACGCCTCCACAGACCCCTTTGCCGGCTTGGGCGGAAATCCCTGACTAAAATCCATCAACCCATGCGCACCCCCCTCAACAAGCAACAATTCCGTCTTAACACCCAACTTCTTCAACTGCTCATAATGGTTGATACTCTCTTTATCGGGGACAACATCATCCGCAGTTCCATGCACAAACACCGCAGGCGGATGCTCCTCAGTCACATGCAACTGCAAAAACGCCGGCTTCAAGTCCTCTGGAATAGCAGCCGCGCGCTGCGCATACTCCAACTTATTCAACTCCGCACCTAGCCCAGGCCGTCCCAGACATCCATCCAGGAACGTCCCATCCAATTCCCACCGCACCGTCAGCGCAAACCGGTTCGTCATCATACCGCCGTCTTCGGGCATATCGTCGCTGACGACGGTCTTGTCGGCAAGTAGCTTGGGGACTTCGTCCAAGTTCACCGTGCTGGCAATGGAAGTGGGAGGACGGCCAGTCGTCCAGTGATCGAGGAGCCAGTCGCCGGCGCTACCGAAGCCGGTTAGCATGGCGGCGGGCTTGGGGGTCGCGTAGATGCAGGCAGCGCGGGCGGAGTATCCGCCTGCAGAGAAGCCGGTTACGGCGACGCGGGTGGTGTCGAGGGTTGTGCCTTCTGGGAGGGAGTTCTGGAAGTCTCCTGCTAGGAAGCGGAACATGGCTTTCGCGTCTTCAATCTGGTCGAGCGCTGTGGTGGGGTGGCAGAGACGGTAGTCTGCGGAGATGAAGATGTAGTTCTTCTGTTGGCAGTGGTCTGTTTGCTCTGTTAGGGACTTGTTTGTCTGCTTTGGTCTTTGAGGTATTACGGGGGAGGACGTACTGTATAGCCAGTGCGGGAATCCCATGCCCCGGCGGGAGCCGGCGGTCATGCCGCCACCGTGGTAGTAGATGATGGCGGGGAGATTCCCGCTGGCATTGGGCGGTAGGTAGTAGTCAAGCTTGACATCGTGGCCATCTACAGTGAAGTAGACGAGGGTCTTGCCTCCTTCAGGAAGACGTGGTGGCATGATTGCTGGTTATGCGGGGTTGAAGTGTTCGGCGTAGGGACTATGGCCGTGTTAGCGACGCGGTGACTGACTGAATACTGAGTGAAGATTACCAGTATATACAGAATGTTCTGGCGAATCAATGTGTGGATTGTTTTATAACAACGTGCCAATGAAGCGCAATTTGTATCCAAGATCAGGCAGCAGCGGAGACTGGAGATTCTCAAACATGATGATGTTGAGCCGGGTGAGTATATAGCCGCTGACCCCACCATGCCGGCACGCCGAGATTCGGCACTACCTCGGCTTTAAGTTTATCGCAAATAGACTCGGTGGAGACTTTGGTTGCAAATGTCCTGAAAAGGCTGTGCAGACCCCAGTATTTCTATTTATGGAGTCGTGGTGAAGATTCGCCGAAAGCTCGATGACATCACACCATACTGTGTTATACCTATGCATCCGAGGTCTAGTTGTCAGACACGACACTGCAAAGCATGCCTCTTTTTTAGGGGAAGAATTGACGAGACAGTGTAGGTCTTTCTTACTGTACCCGTGATCATCCTTTTCTTTCTCTTTGAAGTTACGTTCCACAAAGTTCTTCGATTTTGACACAAGTCTCAAGTGTTGGTCATATTGGCGGTTGCATGATGCATCCAGCACTTTCTACTAAAATTCCGTCGTTCACTCTGGACAGGCTCTGTTGTAGGTGCATATATTCCTGTTTCGATAAGCTAGATTAAGGACAGACTAGACACAAAAGAATCAAAACACAATTTTGCGCGGACTGACTGCCATCACCCGGGTATCGGCCAAACCCAGACAAACAATGACAAGAAGCACTACAAGCCCGCAGTAAAAATCAAACAAGCAAACGAGCGAAACAGGACCAATCAAGACCCGTGAGCAAGGCAAAACACTCCGCACCACGGTCTGAACACACAACTAGTGGCAGTAGCCGTTGGACATCTGGTAAGCCTGAAGACAGCTATTGCATCCATTCTGGCGACAGGTGTTCTGCGAGGTACAATCGACAGACCTGCACATATCCTGGCTTGGCATCTGAGTGCCCGTGGGCAGTGACTGGGATACGCTGCTGGGCGCCCTGGAGGGTAGCTGGTCAGAATCAGGGTTGAGCAGCTGGTCAAGGTCCGTGACTTCGCGGCCGTCAACGCCTTGAAACACGCGTTGAAGACGGGCTGCATCCCGCTGTGGCAGGTTTTGGATGTACTGGCTGATTTGCTGCGGGCTCAGTTGCTGATAAGAGACGACCCGGTTGGCTGCGTCGACGGATCTCAAGACGCCGTCGTTGCCGAGGAACAGGACTCCGTTGGGGGACTGGGGGATGTTGTTGATGATATCGGTGACATTTTGAGTGCTCTTTGGTGGGTTAGAAAGGTTGTTGTTTGTTGGCTAGAGGAGAATTTGCTTACATTGGATGTGGTAGGTACGGCTGGAGCGAGAGCGAAAAGAACGCTCAGAACAGCCAGAATTTGGGCCTTCATTTTGTTGACAAGGTTTGAATGCTGATTGAATATACTGGAACGTCTCAATTGCTTCTCGACTGAGTGTGGTTGCTGAAGATGATAGAGATATGGTAGGAGAGAAGCACGTATTTATATCAGCTTGCTTCCTGCAAATGTTACATAGCCTTAGGCATCTGTGTATTTTTTGCCAGACTGCCTCCGACATGTTCCGAGGTGTAAGCTCATGGCAGCACAAAGATGATAACGGTGCTGCATGATGGACTGTGCAACTTTCGGGTAGCATTGCTGACACCGAGATGGTGGTAGTGTCATCGGCTTGTTGTGAAAACGGGTTTTATTGTCAACTAAATAGACGCTACTGAATAGCTTGTCCTCTGGCATAATTTGAGAAGCATTTATGTAACGTTAGGTTGACCTCCAGGAGAAGAGCGTTACACTGCAGAGCATCCAGACGTAGGAATATAATACGTAAGATGTCCAGCGGTTGATGTCTGACAATAAGACTGACAAACTGTGACACAAACCATGACAGGCCGCATCCTTACTTTCGTCTTTTAGAGTTATTATGTCAGAAGCTTCATCAGCTTTTTCTTCAGCTTCAGCTGTTTTGCCCAAAATCAGGCAGCGCTCATTTCACAAGCCTCCTAGGGAGTGAGGCGGTAGCATGATCTTGTGTTCCGAGAAGAAAGGTCTGGATTCCTTATTCCACAGTAGCCGGGCACATCTTGGGGTAATTCGATCAAGTTTGAGGCGTATGTACCATCTAAGCTGACATACCATTTTGCTTGACATATCACCAAATGCATCATGTCCGCACAACATAGTAGAACTTCTTGTTATAGCCTCGCTTACAGCAGTCCCAGAGTATTGATACCCTAGCTAGGCAGTTTTGCTTGAGATATCGCGTCCCTACAGCCAGGTCGGGGTGGGATCGTGATGACGGTCGCACTATCGCTCCCAGCTAGAAGCCTACTCACTCATTTGACTATGTGCAACTAGTCCGTAATAATATGACGCTATAGCCTCTTCTGTTCAAAGAAGGACTCACGATTCCTGTCCGATATGTCACGAACCTCAGGGAAACCAGGAATATCAGTATGATCTAAATATTGAAATATGGCCATTGATACATGCTTGACAAGAACAGACCCCCTTAGGAGTCAATCTATGTGGCTTCATGAGAATCCTCATCGTGCTCCTCCCCAACCGATTCGAAACTGATCCCTCCAAAGGGGTCAAACAAATCTCTATTGTCACGTGAAGCAGAGCACTCCCGCAATTCATACTGGCCCCATAACAGCGCATCACGGATTGCTAGCTGATGTTTTCGAAAGGGAATTGTACCAGTCTCCATTCCTGCCAACACATCGAAGTGAAACTGACGATGTTCAAACCTCAGTTGCTCGGAAAACGACTTCTCTTTCAAAGCCGGAACATGCGCGTATAGATAAGAAATTTGGCAAGCCAAAACGAGTGATAGCATCTCATAGTTGCTGGGGCAATCTAGCCAGCTCTCGATCAACGCATCCAGAAAGCCTGCCAGTGGCGGAAATGGCACCTTGAGCGATGGCATGACTTTCCAAGGCACAAATTCCAATCGGGTATCAGATGTCAGAGGAAACTTCCAGTCTGTCGCAGGGAGGAGAACCATTCTCGTCTCACCGTCCGGGGATATCAATCGCTGCTGAGGAAAGTCCACCAGATTCACCTGTGCATTCCCAACGAGATGCGGTATGTGCATATCGAATAGCCACCCCGCCTTCGCCAGGATAGTGGCAGCCATGTCAATATCCTGAACCAGAATATACAGATCAAACACAGCAGTAGGAACACCGTAGTAGTCGAGAGTGTCTTCAAACCATATGGCGTGCGAAATGTGATGGTTCATAAGCACTTGGCAGACATTGTATCTTGCTTCGCGTCCGCCTCCTCCCGTGCCAAGATGATAGTTGAGCCTGAACTCCGTAACTTCCATTATGATTGTGAAGACAAAAGACTAGATTGCCTCTGATTTCAAACTAAGACTTGAGGCAGCTGATAGCTGCTGCTTTGTCGACATCTGAAATAGCTATCTAAATCATGAACTTTGTGGAATAGGCGCCAACACAGTAGAAGGCTTCGGCCGTACGTTGATCCGGCCTTGACTGGATCGCCACCCAACTCAAAGTACTCTTAGAGCATCACTCTACTCTGGGTCTCGACACCTACTTACGGTAGCATAACCCGGCCTCGTCACTTCTAGATTCCTCAGCACTATCCACTCCCAAAGGGCCACGTCTTGACGCGCTTGCGCCGTTTGATCCCACACCAGTCCTTGGTCGTATCCCGCTTTCCTATTGCTCCCCTTCAGCGCTTAATAGTAGCGGTAGCCTGGTATGCGGAAGCTATAATTAGACCTTGACCACCGTTCTGCTTAGGGAATAGCACTGTAATCCAATATTATGTTGGGAGTTACATTTCATTCATCGTCTTTGCCGCCGTTAATCTTCGGGGCGCTCCAATGTCATCGCATGATTCCTTCTCATTTGCCAACTCCAGCCTCGGACATCTGTTGACCTCAAAAGTGATATTAAATTCCTGATGCTTTATATTTAGGTCTCTTTGGTTTCTCAAGGTTGGATGTTGTCTATATTATGGTTTAAACCACTGGCACTGCTACACTAGGAGGCAGCATCGTAGCATTTGCAGTACAAGTTCTTATCTGAGAGGATTGAAGATCCCGTAATAGATCAAAACCAATATTAAATATTTGTCAACAGTAGCTTCTCTAAAACTGGGCTGACTATTGATTTTCACCATGTGAGGCGAATAGCTAAGAGCTGGGAGCAGAAGGCGCTGTCGCAATCACCTTACCTGCAGCCTTGTGTATTTCAGGCAGCAGTGCAAGGTTGTGACTAGCACAATTGTCCTAGAAATATCAACGCATCGACATCAAATATACTACAAGGGTATTTCTTCATTTTTACTTTGATTTTGACTAGGCTGCCACTGATCAAAATTTCACACTGTTTGGTGATTGTATTCCTCCGTCGCTCAACCGCATTCTATATGCTCTAGGTAGCATCAATACATCGGAAGGAGCGTAATTAATTGCTTTCTTGGTTCCACTGCGGTTATATAATTGTGACATAAATCTAGAAAAGTAAGCTGGTAAGACAAAAAGGTCGATTAATATCATGAATCAGTTACTAACTGGTCCCACCTCTCCAAGCAAACACCATGACCTCTCCAGACCTTCACCCCCCGGCAGAAATACGCGCCGCCGCACTTGCAGTCGCAAACGCACTCACTCAATATGAGACCTACGCTCTTGTCGGCGGCAGCGCATGTGTGATTCTCGGCTCTACCCGTGCAACCCTAGATATAGATTTCGTTGTTCCTCAAGGCGAAACCTCAAACGCAAGACAGTTGCTGCGCGCCTCTCCTGACTTTAGATGACTTTGAGGTTGAAGCAGGAACGAACCACACAACTTACAAAGCACAAAGACCAGTGCAAATTGAGATTCTAACACCATCTCTCTTATTCAAGGAGCCCTTTGATCAAAATACGGAGGTGATTTTAGTCGAAGGGATAAAGGTTTTAAAGCCAGCTTTGCTTCTCAATGCAAAATGCGGCTCAATTACTGGTCGATCTACGGAGGACAAGAGGAAGACTGACTTATTTGATATTAACTTTCTCCTCAACTTCTGCGCTCAGAACCCAGAATACCTTCCAGGGGCTGATGAGGTTCCAAGAGCAACAAAGCAGCTCGTTGACATTCTTGTTCAGCTTTATGGAGGCGAAGAGGCTTGGATTCGAGCGGGGTATGACATGCAGACAGGTAAGACAAATCCTACGTGGGGTCGCTCATGAAATCTCTCAAGGCTGATGCAAGATGATCAGGTCGATTCAGCAAAAACTAGGCTATATTCCTATATTATATCCTGATATATACGAAGCGTTAGACATTTATCCGTGAATACACGCTATGTTGTCGTATTTCATTGGCTTGCCTAGTCTAGATACTATGTCATGTCTCGTGCCTGTGGCTTTCTGCTCATGAGCTCTGCGCTGTCTTAGTTTTGAAGTACGGGCCATGTCTATGAGTTCGCTATCCCAGGGGGTGAATTAATGAATTGTGCCATGGATTTTGGATGTTTCTGTCTGAGGTTACCGTTTGGAATATCAAGTGACATAGCGTCTAATTTTCGTTTAAGTGAAATTGGGATTTATTTAAATGATAGTGTCAATTCATTTCTCCTTTCTTTTATTTTCTTGCCTTCTTCCAGATAGTCAACCAATTGAATCAGATAAAAAGTTTATTGAGAATAAACATGGTGACTCGCATTTGTCTGCTGGCCACTTAGTCTCGCTGTACATGAATCTGCACCATTCACTAATGCACACTATCGTGTGCTTTTATAGATATCAAATCAGTCGATCACTTAGTCGATCGTCAATGGGGAGCTGGGTGTGAGCCTATGAGCCGGAAAATGAGATCAGGCTGAATGTCGCCCTCGAGGTACCTGATTTCCGGTTTTCGCCAGATCATCGCAAAAGCCAACAATTCGGCGGCAATAATGGCTGCCGAAGGCTTAGCTTAATCTCTGCGCTATAAGGCATCGGAGAGATCTCGCGGAACGCTAGTTTGGACCCTCGGTGAGAATGCCCGGGTCGCTTTGATTGTTTTCCAAAAGAGCGTTCAGTTCTTCAGGCTGGATTAGGAGTCGGATTTGACGAGGGTGGTTGAGAATAGCGGTGAGGCCCGCGACATCATTCATCATGCTGCTGCATGTGGCCCATTTGACTCCGAGGTCACATAGCAGCACCGGTTGGCAAAGAAAAAGAAAAGAGAGAAAAAAGCAATGTCTACCGTTGATTTTAGCAGGAGTGGACAGACTTAGGTTATCGGATAGGAACGATGATCGAAATTCTCCGGCCTGAACCAGAAGGCTATTGGTTATAACCACCAATAACGTACCATTTATGCTCGCCTCCGACCTCAGTCAAATAATAACAAGTCTCAGCAAGACGAAGATTGCAACGAATGTATTGGTGGTCATGACTTGTCCAACTGGTTGGGTATTCAGGATCTAGCTTACCTGATTCCGGCAGTGGACTGGTCGGAATTGGTTCTGGTCATGGAATACAGGGTGCTGAACTGCTGATAAAACCGGAGCAAAGAAGTTCTTCCTGCTCCAGTTTTATGCATTAGGAACTAAATAGTTCGCCAGTCCCTGCGCGTGAGAATACTCAAACAGAATTTGAGAGGTCATGTTGATCGCCCACTTCCTGTAACTGACCGCCTGTATACCATGAGCATGGGATGTTGATCGCTGAATTCAATCAAACACTGTTACCCATTAGTCTGGTCTTTTTTGAAGAAATGAGATGTCACATTTGGGGGGTACCATGCCTCGGCGGCTAAGTACATTTTTTTGACTAAATGTAGATCGGCGGCTAATACCCTACATCCTACACACCAGGTACGTTTGGTGATCTACAGTGGCTGAACGTTCATAAGCTGAAGAACAGATATCCCCACTACCATGTATAGGATTGGTCACAACTATGATTTCTAATTATTCGGTTTATCGATTATAGTACTTCTTGCATCAGACCCATTGGTGGTTTACTCTGGGTAGATTGTTATTCGCTGACATCCACGCATTCGCAATAGCTGGCGAGGCATACGTCGCCAAATAAAATCACTTACCTTCAGATGTATAATCCGAACCAGCGCTTTCATTTCCTTCGCTTTAAATCTACAAGATATTTTCGAATCAGAGCAGTATCATGATAAGTGGTCGGAGTGTCTATACTCCACCTGCCCAACTTTTATTACGAGTTTCAGAGATCTATCTGCAGTCACCATTCTGAGATCCTTTTTATTGAAGAGCACTTACCACTAAACCCGAACAGTGTCAATTTTGAATTTGCCTACACAGGTGATTGAGCTGATTAGAGTTTGAATCAGGCTCTTTCTTGATCGGGGAGCATGTAAGGGTAGTGGCATTATAGTTTGTATGCAAGACTCTACTTCTTAATGTATAGTACACGTATCATTATAATGGCTGCCTCCAGAAGGCAATCCGAGCAATATTGTTCGTGCGGCTGATGATCGTCTGCTGTAAATACTTGCCTACCCTTGAATACTTAACAGGCCTTCGCCCAGCTCGTCAGGCTAAAAAGATCTCACTGATTCTAGCAATCCACTGTGCACTACCTTGTTACCGACTTAATAGGTCATTGCTACACTTTGTTTGCATCATCCCATACAAATCCTTCATACGCAGCCTATGTCTAACACAGTGGCACCAGTTCGCGCCAACGGAGATAGGGCCAATCATGCTGTTGTCACCAACAGTATATGTCTGGATGGCTGCCATGTTGGAACCGATGGTAATGGTCCTTCTACCAATGGAGATCATGTTCCACAGACTGCCTTACAAGTCCCTATCGCCATCTGTGGTATGTCCGTACGCCTCCCTGGAGGCTTGCATTCACCACAGGAACTATGGGATTTCTTGATTTCCAAAGGTGATGCCCGTGGCCCAGTACCAAAGTCTCGATACAGTACTGCTGCACACTATTCTGAGAGGTCGAAGCCGAGCACCGTTAATACCGAGTATGGGTACTTCCTCGATGAGAGTATTGACCTCTCTGCCATTGACACATCATTCTTCAACATGAGAAAGGCTGAGGTTGAACGGCTAGACCCACAACAGAGGCAAATTCTGGAAGTTGCCAGGGAATGCATAGAAGACGCAGGCGAGGTACACCGTAAAGGACGTTCGATTGGCTGCTATATAGGCACGTTTGGAGATGACTGGCTCGAAATGTTTGCGAAAGAAAACCAACATCATGGTCCGTATCGAGCGACTGGATACAGTGATTTTATGCTGCCAAACCGGGTTACATATGAGATGGATCTAACGGGCCCAAGGTTCGTACGTTGAAGATTGGCACTACACGCATCTGCTAACTTGAAGCAAAGTATGCTAGTCCGCACCGGTTGCTCAGCCTCCCTTGTCGCACTACATGAAGCGTGTGTGGCAATTACCCGTGGAGACTGTGAGGGGGCTGTTGTTGGCGGGACCAACTTGATAATGGGCCCAGGCATGTCGGCTGCAATGTCAGAGCAAGGAGTTCTTTCACCAGAAGGCTCTTGTAAGAGCTTCTCTGCCGATGCCGATGGATATAGTCGCGGAGAGGCTATTTCTGCCATTTTCATCAAGCGCCTGTCTGATGCCATTCAGGATGGCAATCCCGTTCGAGCCGTCATTCGCGGCACAGGATGTAACAGTGACGGGAGGGGCACCGCCGGCCTACAAATTCCCAATGATGTCGCTCAGGAGGCTTTGATAAGACGAACTTACAAGGTGGCGGGTATCACAGATTTTGGCGAGACTGCATTTGTCGAGTGTCACGGTACCGGGACGCCAGCTGGGGATCCTATTGAAGCCAGAGCTGTTGGCCGAGTTTTCGGCCCTACTGGTGGCGTACAGATAGGCACCATCAAGCCTAATCTCGGTCATTCTGAAGGTGCTTCAGGCCTCACATCAATAATCAAGGCAGTGATGGCTCTGGAAAACCGCACCATCCCTCCGAACATCAAATTCAATGAGCCCAACCCCAACATCCCGTGGAATTCTTGTGGGCTCTCGGTCCCCACGGAGCCGATGCCGTGGCCTGAGAGACGAAAGGAGCGTATCAGTGTAAACTCATTTGGCATTGGGGGAACTAATGCGCACGTTGTTCTCGATTCTACTCTCAGCTACGGAGTCTCCCCAGCCCCCAAGCAATTTTCCAACTCTCCAGAACTACTTGTCTTCTCAGCCAATACTAAAGAGTCCCTGGAAAAGATGATTCTCAATTATGAGACCTGGGTCCAGAAGAACCCGGACAGGGTTACCGATTTGGCGTTCACTTTGGCTAATAGAAGAGAGCATTTGTCTCGTCGGGCCTTTGCCGTGGCAGGCCCAACGGGCTCGATCACACCTTCGCTGCCATTGAAGGCTGGAAACCCACCCAACATCGTCATGGTATTTACCGGCCAGGGTGCCCAGTGGCCAGAAATGGGCTGTTGTTTACTCCAGAGCCCATCCTATCCTGTCTTCCGAAAGACAATCCAAGCCCTCGATGCGCATCTACAAACCCTCGACCATGCCCCCGATTGGCGCATTGAGAATGAGCTTCAAAAGCCAGCAAACCTCAGCAGACTTGGCTTAGCTGAAATATCCCAGCCTCTCTGTACAGCCATCCAAATTGCCTTAGTGGATACTTTCGCCTCGATTGGGGTCCATCCTACTGCTGTTGTCGGTCATTCCAGTGGGGAGATCACGGCTGCATATGCTGCGGGGAGTGTTACAGCCTATGAGGCCATCACGATTGCATTTTATCGTGGTCAGGTTACAAGGCTGCTCTCCAAGTCTGGGGCCATGGCGGCGATAGGAATGAGTGCTCAGGATGTTCAGAGATACCTGGAGCCTGGAGTAATCATTGCTTGCGAGAATTCCGCCCTGAGTGTCACCCTCGCCGGCGATGTCGAAGTGGTTAAACGTGTGGTTTCCAGGATCAAAGACGATCAACCTGCTATCCTAGCAAGTCTTCTGCGTGTCGACAAGGCATACCATTCTCATCATATGTCCGAGGTCGGGCAGGACTATTATGATTCGATCAAACAAGAGGTGTCTGCTAAACTCCCCACTAAGCTGTTCTTTAGCAGTGTCACGGGCAAGCAGCTTATACCGGACTGTGATCTCGGGGCAAGATACTGGCAGAGAAACCTAGAATCACCGGTACTCTTTCATTCGGCTATCTCATCTATTATGCAACACAACATTGCAAACAACATGATGTTCCTTGAGATTGGACCTCACTCGGCGCTCGCAGGACCTCTACGTCAAATCTTGAGTGAGCATTCAAATACTTCTCACTATGTCCCAACACTTACCCGCAAACAAAACGATGTTGAATCTCTATTAGTGGCAATTGGAGCCCTGCACAGTCGCAATGTTCCTGTGGACCTCGGCAGAGTAATCAACAAGGGCTCATGTTTGCCAGATCTACCTAGATATCCTTGGAACCACACGCAAAAATTTTGGTACGAGTCCCGGCTGAGTCAGGGGTGGCGTCACCAAGAACATGCACATCACGATCTCCTGGGTGTACGGATTACGGAGAGTCCAGATTTCAATGTGCTATTCCGGAACATTTTTCACTTGGAAAACGCTCCATGGATCCGTGACCACAGGGTCGGTAAAGACATTGTCTTTCCTTTCGCTGGATATGCCGGCATGATCGGTGAAGCTGTTCGGCAAGTGACCATGGTCAATGAGGGATTCATTCTGCGCAAGGTGACTATTAGCACTGCCCTTGTGCTAAGAGAAGAAACTCCTGTTGAGATAACAACTATGCTACGTCGCTGTCGATGGACAGACTCTCTTGATAGTGAGTGGTGGGAATTTAGCATTGCATCACACAACGGAACTACCTGGACCAAGCACTGCTCCGGAGAGGCCAAGGCCCATGATAAAATCTTAAGAGAAGAGAAGAAGAACCAACCTTTTGTGCGCAAGATTAAGAAACGTCGTTTATACCAGTCCTTGGCCAACTCTGGTCTCAACTTTGGACCCACGTTCCAACGCCTTGATGACGTTCGATCTGACACTACAACGACGAACGCGACATCGGAAGTCACTAGAAAGGAAGATGATGATACGAACTACCATGTGCATCCAACTGTCATTGATGCCTCACTGCAGCTTCTCAGTGTTGCCGCAACTAAGGGCCTCTTCAATACTAGGGGCAGGGTCATGGTGCCCACCAATGTCGAAGAAATCTGCGTCTCCCGTTGCTCTGAGGATGTCCAAATACGAGCCTCCGCATCTTACAGTCAAAGCAATTGCATTTCTGGTGGATCTCTGTGTATTACTGCTGATGGTAAGGTTGTTTTGCGCATTTCTGGGGTCAAGCTCTCCGTTCTAGATGATCAGGTGTCTACGCGATACGCTGAACCGACGGCTCGTGCAGAATGGGGTCCTCATATCGATTTCTTAGACCCCAACACTCTGATAAAACCGTCTGCTGTTAACCGGAGCATACACATTCCAATCTTGCGTGAGCTAGTTCAGTTATGTTTGATTCATACAAAGAGAACGATCTCAGAATTAGACACCTCGATTGACTACATGAAGAAGTACAGATCGTGGGTCAACCGTCAGTGTCAGACAGCGGAGCTCCAACGGCTTGATAAGTTCGATAACGCGACAATCGAGATCAGAGTCAATTCCATCGCCACTGAACTATCACAGACCCCAGCTGCCGGTGTTGCTGCGGGGATTCAGAAAGTCCATAGCAACATGAGGGATATCTTTACCGGTGACAAGCAGGCGCTCGATGTTCTTCTTGCGGATGACATACTAGTCAAACTGTATGTGTATGCGGATCAATGCGACGAGTCGCTATTCTTTAAACACTTGACACACAGCAAACCTAATTTGCGAGTGCTCGAATTAGGCGCTGGAACTGGTGGCTCCACTGTTAACTTCCTGAGATGGTTGACACCTGGTGGAAAGTCTCTGTACTCAAAGTACACCTTCAGTGATATCTCGTCTGGTTTCTTCGTCGCCGCTAGAGAACGATTCAATGCTTACCCGGATATCGAATATCTTCCTCTTGACATCAGCGAAGATCAATCAGAGCAGGGCTTTGACGGTCGGAAATATGACCTTATTCTAGCAACCAACGTCATTCATGCAACTAAATATCTCAATATAACTTTGAGCAATGTCCGAAAACTACTTCACCCTAATGGCCGACTCTTGCTTCATGAGCTCACCCCAAGTTCGAATTGGGTCAACTATATCTGGGGAACGCTAGCTGGATGGTGGTACGGTGAAGATGATGGCCGGGTTGATCAGCCATATATCAGTGTCGACCGGTGGACAGAAGAGCTGAAAGCTGCCGGATTCTGCGCTCCTGATGCCGCGGTTCCTGATGCAGCCGCACCCAATCAGCTAAATACTATGATTCTGGCTAGACCAAAGATTGAATTCTCCCCTAGGAAGAAGGTCACTCTACTTACTATTGTTGATTCCGAGGATGCGCGTTCCATCGTCCTAGGCCTACAGAACAGAGGGTATACCATTGATCGCCGGGGACTGCAGGAGCCTTTGCCGGACGGGCAAGACGTCATTGCTTTTCTTGATGATGACACACCATTTCTTGAACAGATGGACAGTAATATGTTTGAGTCACTCAAGGCCTTGGTTGATCAAGGCAATGACTGCGGTATTTTCTGGTTGACTGGTCTGTGCCAGGTTCAATGCAAGGACCCACGATTCGGCCAGATCAATGGGTTTGCCAGAGCCATACGATCAGAGATGTTTATTGATTTCGCCACTTGCGAGGTTGACTGTATCATTTCATCTGTGGACCGAATCATTGACGTGTTCGAGAAATTCCAAAAACGCGAAGAAGATGACGTTTTCAAGCCAGAGTGCGAATATGCCATTATACAGAACACCGTCCATGTCGGACGGATACATCCCTTCTCCGTACAAGATGAGCTTACAGATCCAGAGCCTAATGGGGTTATTGCTCTTCGTTCCAGCAAGCCTGGCTATCTCACTGCTTTACACTGGGTGGACGAGGAGATAGATCCGCTGGAAGCTGGCGATGTCGAGGTCGAAATCCATGCCACTGGTTTGAACTTCAAGGTATGTCGGAGACAGACCAAATCACAGTATTCTAGACAAAGCTGTAAGGTGTTTCTAACTTCGGGTACAGGATGTTTTGGTTGCTATGGGCATTGTTGGGGACTCTGGACATGGATTTGGTTACGAAGCAGCCGGCATTGTCCGCCGCACCGGTGCCAGCGTAACGTCTGTTAACACTGGCGACCGTGTTATGCTCATATCAAATAGTGCATTTTCCACATATAGAGTTGTGCCGGGGGATCTTTGTGAGAAAATCCCAAACGACCTGAATTTTGAAGATGCTGCTACCATGCCTTGCGTGTTTGCTACATCCATCTACTCCATCTTCACCATCGGTAATCTGAAAAGGGGCGAGGTAAGTGCTTTTTCTCCCCTCGGCATCTAGACTCCTTAATTTGGAAATATGTTTCTCTGACCTTTTCTTGGTCCAGTCCATTCTTATTCACAGCGCCTGCGGTGGTGTTGGTCTTGCCACTATCCAGCTTGCCCAGATGGTCGGGGCTGAGATCTATGCAAGTGTCGGAAACGAGGAGAAAGTCGCATATCTGATGAATACATTTCATCTGCCTCGGAATAGAATATTTAATTCACGGAATGCCTCCTTCGCGGACGATATCATGCGAGAAACTAACAACAGGGGTGTTGACTTGGCACTGAACTCATTGTCTGGCGAGCTACTGCACGCTACATGGGAGTGCATTGCGCCCTTTGGTAGAATGATCGAGATTGGTAAACGAGACTTGCTGGGCTCTGGAAAGCTGGAAATGAATCCTTTCTTGAGTAATAGAAGCTACTGTTCCGTCGATCTGGATCAGATCTGTTCCTTGAAGCCGACCATCGCCAAGGAGTAAGTATTCAATGAAGGGTTACATATGCTGGCTTTCAATAACCGAATACTCTGCAGGCTGCTCAAAGACGTCACCAGATTATTAAGGGAAGGTCACATACATCCTATCCGTCCCATCAGGACCTTCGACTCAGCCCACATTCTGGACGCCTTTCGGTACATGCAGCAGGGTATCCACCTGGGCAAGATTGTTGTGTCCATGCGCAATGCAGCTGGCCAGGTCACTCTGGACGAGAATATAGCGCACCATAAGAAGATCATTCAGTTTGATAGCTCGGGAGCTTATCTGCTCGTTGGTGGTCTAGGAGGCTTGGGTCGTTCTGTCTCTACATGGATGGTAGAACGAGGCGCCCGTCATCTCATCTACCTTTCTCGTAGCGCTGGAACTACTGAAGAGCACTTGGAATTTTCTCAAGAGCTTGCCAGCATGGGGTGTCGCGCTGACTTTGTGCAAGGGACCGTTTTGAACTTGGACGATGTCGCTAGGGCCATGACTCAGGCTCATGGCCACCTCAAGGGGATCTTTCAGATGACCTTGGTTCTTCGTGATAGCAGCTTCTCGCGCATGACGAAAAACGACTGGGACACTGCTGTTGACCCCAAAGTCAAGGGAACGTGGAACCTCCACCATGCGTCCACTTCTATCAACGCTGATCTTGACTTCTTCGTTATGTTCAGCTCCATGTCTGGCATTGTTGGAAATCCTGGTCAGAGTAACTATGCGAGTGCTAATACCTTCTTGGATGCCTTTGCTCGTTATCGCTTAAACCTGGGGCTTCCGGCCTGTGCCGTCCAGGTAGGTACAGTCGAAGAAATAGGATATATGGCCGAGAATGAGACATCCACGCAACAGACTGCCCGTATCAGTGCCACGGAGGGTGACATAACCGAGCAGGAGCTTCTTGAGGCCCTCGAAGTAGCTGTCGGTTCGACATCCAGTAACTTATATGTTGGAATCCGCTCCAACATGTGCTTGAGTGACCAGGGAAACCGTTCACTCTGGCATGGGGACATCCGAATGGCCTTCTTTCATAAAAACGCGGAGGGTCATTCCACCACGAGTTCGCCGTCCGGAAATGAATTGCAAGCCTTCATCATTAAGGCGAAGGGCGACGCCACTTTATTACATCAGTCCGAGTCTGCCCATTTCCTTGCTCGAGAGATTGGACGGAAGGTCTTTGAATTCCTGCTGAAGCCAGAGGAAGAGTTGCAGACATCGTGCTCTCTGTCAGAGCTGGGTTTGGATTCCCTTGTTGCTATTGAGTTGAGGCAGTGGTGGAAATCAATCTTTGGATTTGATATCAGTGTGCTCGAGATGGTGGGAATGGGGAGCCTAGATGCTCTTGGGGCGCACGCTGCCAAGGGCATGCTTCGCTCATTTCATGGTGTTGAAGAATAAGTGAATTGGGCGTTCTCTGGGAACATTTCTTGCTAGGAATTTGTGTACTCGATGGGGTGATTACATACTACAACACCACACAATGATTCCTGGACGAAAACATCTGTATGAATATACGCGGATACTAGTCTAGTCATTTGACAAAAACAAGTAGCTTAACGCACATTTCATGCACAGTTTATTTAATTTTTCATTATCATTCTCGCTCAGTGACCACGAGTGGTCTTAGAATATACTAATTGATTCACACAAGATCAATCTTATGGTTGTAGGTTGCCCCGGCAAACCCCGTTAAGAGGCACATCTTCCACGGGGTTTTATTTAATACAGGACGATCTATACGGCTACTTAGTCCGAGTAGCGCCCTACCTACCTATCAAGCAGAGATAATCCCCAGAGTAACAGGGGGTATGGGCGAGCTGTCCACGGCAAGATCCATAGGTCATTGTTCGAGTGAGCGGGAACTCAAGCATGAAATAATCCGCTATGGCAGCACCAGCTATCGTCTATCTTTACTACAAGCAGGTGAGACGTGGTTAGTAGCAATCAGGAAAGCTTATCCTTACTTTGTTAGCGTACCAAAGAGTGTGCTTGAGACTTCCATGGACTCGGGTAATTGGGATATTCCCATGGTAAAACGGCGCTCGGGGTTTTGGTACCCCGGGCGGAAGTTTGTCGTTGGAATTGAGGAGACAACTCCGACTAAACCCGTCGTTCTATGCCGGAAGAAAGAATATCGTCCTAGGAGCGAAGGTGTCAATGGCCGCACAATTCTGTGTGATAAATATAAATAGATAAAATAAAGAGGTGGACATCTGCGACCGGACGGAAGGGCGCAACAAGGGTGTGTGAGTCAACATGACGGGAAAAAAAGAAGGTTGGAGCTGCGGGGAATCGAACCCCGGACCTCTCCCATGCTAAGGGAATATTATACCACTAAACCACAGCCCCGTTCCTTGTTGAAGGACAGCAGATGTTTTGGCTACATAAGCCAGTTGTCAAAAATTCACTTCAGAATATGATCTGTATTTAAAAATCGTCTCTTAGTCAAGCCAGAGACCATTGGAGTGAACATAAAGTACGTTCAAAGAATATCAATCAGCATACTTTCGTCATCTTGACCTCTTGTAGTTCTCTAGTTAGTTGTACCTGCGATCAGTTGATGTTCATTAATCACTTTACTACCTACGGATGACCCGCTCTGATTCACCTTTTATATATCGTGGCGACATTTCATAGTAGTATAGGTCGTTGTTGCCCTCGTATGGATTTCGCACTTCATCATGCTATTTTTCTCATTGGTCAATCTGCTCACTGCCATATATGATCATGCCCTGTTCATATTCCATTCATACGTTGTTTACCTCTCCGGTGTAGTGTTTATACTCTCACCTGCCCATGCCTCTTTACCGCCCGATTCTGTTGCCTCTAGCAGCAGATCCTGTGCGCTTTAGGAGTGTACTATCCTCCGGATATAGTACCGCTAGGGTGGTATCTGGTAAGAGATTAGAATTCTCTGTGAATACACTCAGAACACCCATGACTAACACTTCCTCAGATAAGAAAGGCTACTACGATCATCCCCTAGCCTAGGTCGTGTTCTCCCATATATTAGCGACCTTCCGCAGTGCCAGTACACTTGATTCATGCTACAATACCATTTGTGGCTGTTAATCCGTGTTATAAGCAATATACAAGCCTCCCTTTACGTTGACTGCAAACGGAAAGTGCCGTGTAGGACTAGCCCGAGTATTGCTACTTCCTACCAATCAGGTGATGTCGGACGGGACCGGCGCGTCGCCGCGTTTTATCTTCACCAGCTCATTTCAGTCACCAGCTCCTGGCAACCTTCTTGAGAATAATAGCAGACCAGATGCCATGATATCAAATCAAATGAGAATTGTCAGAGCTAATACTACAGTACCTGGAATTCTGATTTACTTCTGTCGGATTCCGACCAATCTTCAGCTAAGATGATAGCAGGCGCCACGGCGTGCAGATATTATGGCATCGCGGAGCAATCAACCGCCCTGAGTACAAGCACCCGAGTTGCTGACCCCGTGTCAGCATCCCACTGATGACAATCATCCACCATAAGTACACAGCCGAAGATGACATACAAACCCCTACACCCCCCCTCCTAAAATGAGGCGCATCAAACCCGGCGGGGACTCCGGCTGTGAGGTCGCCCTTGCAGTGGACAGTGCAACGCTGTTCAACCCAAATACCGATTATGCCATTCAGAATGCCGCAAGAGGTACGGGGCCATAAAAGCATGTTACCGATGGTTCGTCGGTCAAAGGACATATGACGAGGATCAAAATGTACCGAAACGCGCGGGGAAGGCTTCAGACGTAGGCCAAGACCCCAGATCCCGAGCTTTGGCGGACCGATTTTGAGCCATGGAACCCAGGTGGCATTCACACAGCTGCCATTGGATTGTTGCAAGTCAACCTGTCATATGTGCCGGGGTAATTTCCCCTCTGAGTGATGACATAAGAATTGACTTTCCCCGGATCCCAACCAGAGATCAGTCTTCCCCATCAAAATGCTTGCAGCATGACATGTTCGGTATGACCGAATTCCCCGAGCCCCAGAGTTACAATCTCGGCCCATGTCAGAACATCAGTGGCTGATGCGGGGTCCCATGGGCCAGAGTTCAGGACCACCACGTGAGCAGTTGAACACTCATGCTGGGGTACCCTTGTCCGAACAAAGTATTGGAGACGAGTTCCTTTTCGCCTGTCAGACAACCAGACAAAGAAGCAAGCGAGTCCAGTCTAATTGATGACATCACGGACCCATCATGCGGAATTGCTGACAATCCTCCCTTGGTCTATATATTGGAGCTTTATGCCTGACTCTCACAGCTCAATACCGCAGGGAGACTGTGCCATTACGGTCTGAAAATTCGACACCTACTTTACCTGACAAATATGAGATTGCCAAAGGTCAAGATGCCTCGTAAGAGGCCGCAAGACGAGTTCAATGGTGATGTGTTGCAGCAAGAAGCGCAAGCCACCGGCCCCAATGGCCAGAAATCTGAAGAGGGGACAGTGGATACACCTATCCCTCTGCTCACGTGGCGCTCTTTCTTAATGGGTATTTTCGTGTCAATGGGTGGTTTTCTTTTCGGCTACGACACTGGCCAAATTTCAGGCTTCTTGGAGATGCCGAACTTTCTCCAAAGGTACGGACAACAGCATGCCGACGGAACATACTATTTCTCCAATGCCCGTTCGGGTCTGATCGTCGCGCTGGTAAGACACGCATGGACAGCTTGACCCAAGTTCACTTTTGCTGATAAGCGCAGCTATCAATCGGTACCTTGATCGGCGCTCTTATTGCGGCTCCCATCGCAGACCGCATTGGCCGGAAATGGTCCATCAGCGGCTGGAGTGCCATGGTGTGTGTTGGGATCACCATACAAATCTCTTCTCCATTCGGCAAGTGGTACCAGGTCGCCATGGGTCGTTGGGTAGCTGGTCTCGGCGTTGGGGCTCTATCATTGCTTGTTCCCATGTATCAAGCAGAAACTGGACCCAGGCACATTCGTGGATCACTTGTTAGGTATGCCTACGAACTTGTTGTATTATTATGATATGAAAGCTAACGTCAACAGCACCTATCAGCTTTTCATCACACTTGGAATTTTTGTCGCCAATTGTATCAACTTCGGAACAGAAGACCGGAATGACACTGGATCCTGGCGTATTCCCATGGGCGTCACTTACATTTGGGCCATCATCCTGGGCTTCGGAATCGCACTATTCCCAGAAAGTGCCCGATACGACTACCGTCATGGAAAGGAGGCTAAAGCAGCCCGTACCCTCTCGAAAATGTACGGGATTCCTGAAAATCACCGAATGCTGAAGCTCGAGATCGACGAAATCCGGCAGAAATTCGTGGAGGAAAAGGAACGCGGACAGATAACCTGGTCCCATCTATTCCATGCACCCCGCATGACATATCGCGTCGCAGTTGGAGTCGCCCTTCAAGCACTGCAACAGTTAACTGGTGCGAATTATTTCTTCTACTACGGAACTACGATTTTCCGAGGCGCCGGTATTTCAAATTCTTACGTTACACAAATGATCCTAGGCGGTGTAAATTTCGGAACAACATTCCTAGGGCTGTATTTGATTGAGAACTATGGTCGTCGACGATCCCTGATAACAGGAGCATTGTGGATGTTTGTCTGCTTTATGGTTTTCGCCTCAGTGGGCCACTTCTCCCTCGACCACGAAAACCCCGAACGGACCCACACAGCAGGTGTGGTCATGGTTGTCTTCGCCTGCCTGTTTATTCTTGGTATGTCATCAATGGCATTTCCCCACTCTAGTCCAGTTAGTCCCAGTTGCTAACCGCTACAAAGGTTTCGCATCAACATGGGGTCCCATGGTGTGGACCATTATCGCAGAGCTGTATCCCTCCGAATTCCGTGCCCGCGCCATGTCGCTCGCCACAGCATCCAACTGGCTCTGGAACTTCCTTCTCGCCTTTTTTACCCCCTTCATCACGAGTGCCATTGACTTCCGGCTCGGCTACGTCTTTGCCGGCTGCCTCTTCCTTGCCGCGGGCCTGGTTTACGTGGCTGTCATTGAAGGCCGTGGCCGTACACTGGAGGAGATCGATACAATGTACGTTATGAAAGTACCGCCCTGGAAGAGCTCCAAATACGTGTTTCCCGACATCGATCCGTACGATCGCCGCGGCTCGACTTCATCCAAAGCAGGGGCTTCTCATGTTCCGCACGTGAGCGGTGGAAACGAGACGTTCAGCCCTCACACAACTGAAGTGTAATTCTTGATTGCTCCGCCTGTTAGGAGATATGCGTGGAGCTCCGAAGCACTTGGAAGCCGGTAGTACACTTCTATGATTGGCTCCATCGGATTTCGTGATCACGCTCAGGAAATGATGTCTCTTGTTGTTTATAGGAGTTGCATCATTGTTTTACTTGGCTGACAGACGTTTTGTGTATACCATCCCATTTTGTTATG